GGGCTACATTCAGTTTATAACACGCACCCAAATTTTCACCCTCTTTTAGGGGGGAAAAGATGTGTCTTATACTCCGAAAAATACGGTAGTTCCCCTATCCGTCTGTCACACGGTTTAGCCATCAGACCCCCTTATCATCCTTGTTGCTCTTTCCTGCACCCTTTCTACAGCCTCAACATCTTCTTTGTATCATGGTGACCAGAACTAAGCCCAGTACGCCAAGTGTGGCCTTACTAAGGCAGTATAAAACATTAATACTACCCTTTCCTGTCATCTTGGTGCAACTTAGGACTTTGTAGCCTTTTTTACAGTTGCAATACACTGGCTCAAATGGTGGTCTACCAGGATGCCTAGATCCCTCTCAGTTACTGCTGTTGAGCCAGGTACCACCTATTCTGTACCTGTGCATTTGGCTTTTCTTGCCTAAGTATAAAACCTCCCTTTTCTACCACGGAATTGCATTTTGTTGGATAGGATCGAATACTCAAGTCTGTCAAGATCCTTCTGGATCTTGGGCCTAAAGTATTGGCTGTTGCTCACCAGCTTGATGTCATCTGCAAGTTTGATGAGTATTCCTTCTATTATCATAATCTTTTTTTATAAAAAGTTTTTTTAATTTTTATTCTCTTGTATATAGTTACAGGTACACATTCACATAGTTATTGTTCTTATTTATCTTTATCACTTTTACATGTTTGTTTTTCCATATAAAAAGTTAAAATATACACCCCAGGTTGCTTTTCCTACCATCCAGTACACCTACTTTGTATTATCACCACCCTATTTTTTCTTTTCTTTTCACTCTCCCTCCCTGTGGGGTGGAGTTTGAGCAACTGAATGGAGCCAGCAGAGTGTTTAATGTCCGGATGCCCTTCCTGTCACCATGAGTAATCCTTCTCTCTCCCACTTAAATCATTGATGAAGATGTTGAGGACTACTGGACCTAAGACAGAAGCTTGAGGGACCCACTTCATGCTTCCCTCCATGCAGATGCATCTCCATGACTTTCTATGGAGAGCCAAAGTAGACAGAAGAGCAGAAGGGCTCTCAAGAGAACTCTCTGCTCTGTGTAATTTTTGGCTAGTCATAAGGAAGCGCTTGTGCAATATCACATGCTGATCTATACAAGCCTGGGTGGGGCTGGGAACTCATGTCACGTTGTCCATTGGGAGAGTGACATCACGAGCAAATGAGGTAATTCATTGAGCTGTGGGATGACTTGACATTGCCAGCTGGAATGGAAGCAGGAGATTCTGCCCTTAATGAAGAATTTCCTCCCCTATAATCAGGGGTGGGTTTCAGCTGGCGTTACTGCCGGTTCACTCCTGTGCACACTTCGAGCGCCTGTGCATGTGCAGTTCAATGGAAATTGTTCTGTGCATGTGCAGAACTCAAAAAAGAAAAAAAGAAAAAAAAGAAATGGAGGCAAGGTGACCGGGGAACTTGTTCAGGGGCGTGGCAGCCTGGGTCCCTCCCAGTTCTGCGACCCAGGCTGGTGTACCACTATTGGTTCGAACCAGGCCAAACTGATAGGAACCTACCTCTGCCTATAATGTCCTGGAGCAGAAGCCAGGGCGGAGAGCTGGAAGGCGCCTTACCTGTCTTGCTCAGGATAAGCAGCCCTTGATTCAAGAGCCTAACATCCTGTCCCAGGCAGGAAGCAGAACCTAATGTCTCTTCCTGCCCGTGCGCTCCTGCCTGAGTGCAATTTTAAGATCAGAGCTTTGTGTTTTGAAATTAAATGCAATAAAAAATTAACCAGAATGGAATAAAGGTGGTATGGCCAAGAATTCAAATCAGAAAGCCTCTCGCTCTCAAATCTGGCTTCCTTGTGGGCCAGGCATGCAAGGGGCAAAAATCATCCTAGATGTCTTCTGCCGTCATTCAACTTGAATAATATGCCACAAGGGAAAAAAACAATACTACCTTTGCTATAAACTATTGATTAATTAAGCATTTGTTAAATTGCCAGATTTTTTCCAACATGGTTTAGAAAACAAGTTAGGAAAAATATTTTTTTTTTATAGATGGAAAATAGCTGTGAAATGTTTTAAATCTTCGTGGGCTTTTTTTTCCAAACTCAAATGAAAGGTGAATTATTCTGCCTCTAAGAGATTAGTAACAATGTTCATTGTCCATTGCTCAACAGGTCCATTCCTGAAAAGAATTAGAGGGAGAAGTCCTGGTAGGGGATTATATGGCAGGCTGACCCTCTCTGAAGACATTGAGAGACCCTGCAGCTGAGAATGCACAACCTCTCTTGAGCAAAGGGAGATCATGAGATCAATCACGTGCACTCTGGATGGCAGTTCCTCACGAGCACACTGCAGAAATGGAATGCCTTAGTTGCAGATGAAGAGGAGATAAATCAGGATCTAGTGGAGAGTTCAAACCAACCAGGGTTCTTGATTCCCTCCTCCTTCAACAATTGTAATGTGACTTCTGCATTTGAAAAGAAGAAATCTGGGCCACCCCCTTCTTCTTTACTTAGTGCCTCTTGCATCTGAAAAGGTTAGCGGAAATTGCAGCCCCTAATGCAATCTGATGTCAGAAGCCACAAGCTTCCCCTCCCCTAAGTGGCAAAGCCTCCACAGTCATCCCAAAGTTGATTTTGAGCTGTATTTTTAAAGTGAAAAAAGAGCAAGTTTTAAAGTCAATATTTGAGGAATAATCATATCACTAAACCCGCCATCCTGGGCCCAACGTTTGGGAAGCCAGGCTCTGCCTGTCACAAGTCAGGACAAAGGGTGAGTGATGGAGGAGTAACACCTCTTTAAAAACCTTGATCCAGCTGATCCGGCTGGGAGCAAGTCGTAAAGGGCCCCTTTCCAGGGTTACAGGAGAAGACGGTCAAGGATTTTGAAGGCTCTACGCCCCAACGGCAGATCAAGTGGCAGAACCATCTTCTAGGAGAAGGGAAGCTCTGATGACAAACCTCCACAGCCTTGTGCCTACATCAGTGATGGGAGCACCAGGTACCGTTCTGGTACAGTGCTCCGGAGGGGCCCACCCGCCCGCCTGTCCTCTTTACTGGTATTTGAGCCAATCGGGGCTTCCGTGCACGCGCACGGAGAGTATGGCGCCTGCGTGACGCTCTGCCAAGGAGCTGGAGTGTTGCCGAGCATCGCGGGTGGTAAGTACGGATGCGCACGCTGTGCGCGTGCTGTATGCGTGCATGTGGTAGACGTCCGGCTGATTGTAATGGGATCTGGAAACCACCACTAGGGTACATCCACTACTGGAAAAGGCTTTGGGAGTCAACCTCGAGGCAAAATCTGGAGCTGGAGTCCCGGAAGTAGTTTGTGACTTTGTACAACCACGTTCTGGTAACTCCTGCGACGCAGCTGGAACCAATCCTATCGGCTCTATCATTCCATTGGACTATTTCAGCGACGTGGAGAAGGTGGATCTGCTGCTTGGGTAACAGTCGATCCTCCATATTAATCTACCCAGGCATCATGCTCTGGAGAGGACACTCCAGCTTTGACCTCTTCCCAGAGCAGGATACCTTCGTCTTTTGAGACTGAAGGATACCAATGTAATCATACCACTATTTTCATTTGGTTTTAACTGAATTAAAATGGGATCATACCAAGTTTAGTTATTGTCTTGGATCTTTTCTCCTTGGACCTTGCCTGTGGCAGTCCATTCAAAGTCCACTTGGATCCAGAAACACCTCCCCTTTCCTATTCTTAGGCGCCCACAAGGACCCCAACTCCAGCCTGAAATGCTGCCAATTACTCACTGGCATTGTGCAGTGGGTTAAGGTTGACCTTAGGTTGGGAAGTGCCTTTGGTGCCACGGCAACTATTGCTCTCTCTCTCTCTCTCTCTCTCAGCACAGCCTACCTCACAGGGATGTTGCTGGGATAAAACTAGAAGGGACATTTATTCAAGCCGCCTTCAGATTGGGACAAAACTCGGATCCATCAATAAATAATTAAGCGCTGTTGCAAATCTTTTTCGTAAAATGGTTTAAATCTCACAAAATTCTTAAAGTCTATAATGACACTGAACAGTAGATTGTAGTTTTCTTTTTACATACAATGGTAAATATATTGCCAAATCTCAACTTCGCCCTAAAGAAATCTGTGGAATTTCTTATAGTGTCCAAAACTACAATTTCTGTCCTGAGAACAGATAAGTATATCCTGAAAGAATTTGCGGAATAAACTAGAGAGAAGACTCCCACAAAAGTCAGCACTGGGGCATCACCATCAATGGCTTCAGAGGGGCTTCAATCCCAATTCTGAACAGGGACCATGTAGACCCAGTAGCAGAAGAGGTATTCTGCCAGTTCGCATTGGTTTGGGCAAACTGGTAGTGGCGGTGGCGCTAGGCTCCGCCCATCCACCCAGACGTCAACATGGATCTTCTACGCATGCTCCTGCTACCGAACTGGTAGTGAAGATAATAGGACACCATTATTGCCCAGTAGATATTTCCACCTTTAGGTGGGGGGACTGGAAAAGCAAAAACCTGAAATTATTATTGCCCTTTATTATATGCATAGGCCATACCAGTGATGTCTAATCTTTTTCCCATTGTGTGCAAAAAGTGGGGGAGCGCAGGGGGGGGGTCGTGTTTGAGCATGCCCACACCCATAATTCTATGTGCGATCTCCCATGCGCATGTGTGCGTGACCCCTCCTTGCGAATGCACGTGTGACTCCTGCCCTCCCCCTGATTTTGCCACGCGTAGGACCCATTTTTCGCTCTCTTAGGCTCCAGAGGCTTTCTAGGAGCCTGGGGAGGATGAAAACACACACCCCCCCGCTTGCCCCCAGAGGACCTCCAGAGAGCATAAAAAGGCCCAATGGGCAAATTGGAAGTCTTTACCCGAACAGCCGAAAATAAAGGCTGAAGTCAGCTGGCTAGTGCCCACATGTGTGCTGGAGCTGACAGGCCAACATCTTGCGTGCCCTTTCCTAGGGAGAGAAGAGAATCATGACATTCCTAATTACCCTCAAAAAAGTTGCCTCCAAACTCTTCCCAGACTTACCTGCAAGGTCTTGTGAGTGATGCCCCCACGCCAGAGTCTCTGCGCTCTCTCATCTCGGGCTCCTCAGTCTCGTTCAGAGAGTTGGTGGTGCTCTCAAAGTCGCTGGTGGAGGTCCCAATGTCAGACATGGAGTGGTTCTCCAAGTTCAGGTGGGTGGGCTCCTCTGCAGAATCCATTTCCTCCCTTTCCCCCACCCCAATACTTTCATCCTCCATGTCCAGCTTTACTGCCTTTGACCAGAGTTCTATTTTTTGCTGGAGACCCCAAACATGCTGCAGGATGTCATCTAGGTTTTCATAGATCATTTCCTGGTCCAGATCAAAGAGATCATCCCCACTAGCAAAGTCAGGAACATTATCGTAGAGGCTTGTGCGGCTATCTGTGGAGGTGCTGGAAGGCCTCCTTGGTCGGTGTTCCAGGGCATGAGAAGAGCTGCCTCCGTGGACACCACTGCTGACGCCAGGGCCACCTGCCAAAGGACTGGAGGCTTTGGGGGTTGATTTCCAGTCTGCCAAACAGCCCCTCTCCAAAGGGCACAAGCTTTCAATGGAGAGAGATTTGGGGAAAGTGCCTGGCTTGTAATCCCCCGGGATGTGGAATAAATAATCTCTTTTAAATGCAATTTGGTGATCCCACAGTCTGGCATCCCGTTTCTTGTTCAGACTTGTTTCATAATCCTCTAAATAAATACTACCATATTTGGGCTCATGTTGCAGCTTGCTTTTAACGGAGGCCAAAGCCTGGTTAGTCCGACCACCTGTTGAAATTGTCTTAGTGCTGTAGAAAGAACTTGGCTTTTCATGTCCTACTACAACCTGCGTCCCAGAGACAGGTTCCTTGGAAGAGTCCTTGGAGGAGTCCCAGCCAGACATGAGGTGAGTTCTATCCCCATCTGGAGCTTTAGCGGAGTCCAATTTCTCCTTGTCTTTCTTTCTCAGAGATTCGATTCTTTTGAGGAAACTCCGCGTCGGACGCTTCTTGGGTTTTTGCTTGCTGTTTTCATTTGGAGACTGGGCTGCTGGAGAATGGTTACTCAAGCTGTCAGGGGTATTGGTTAAAGTTGGGGAGTTCTGAGTGGACGACGAATGGGGTGCCATGGCCACAAGGCCCAAGGTCCCACCGGTGCTGCTCGTGCTATGGAGTGAAATGGCCTCCAAGTCAGCACTCTGGTCTGTGAGGACACTTTCCTGGCTGGAAAACTTCCTCATTGCGGAGTCTCTCTGCAAGCTCTCTCCAAGATGTTCCTTTGAGTCAGTTTGGGGCCAACTTCTGCGGTTCCTTTGGGAGGTCCATCGTTCACCAAAAGCACATAAGTCTTCATCATCCAAGTCTTCATTCTAGATTAAGCACAGAAGTCAGAGTCATTGGACAACTTGGTGGGAAGAGGTTGGCTCTAAACCACTGGTCACGTCTCACCTAAGCATGTCTAAAATGTTGATGCCCCCACCCCCGGGACATATAATTCTTACTGTCAGGCCTGCAGCCATCTTTTCTTTTGGATCTTTGGCCTGCCACACTTTCTATTATTCTACTATGCATTTTCTATTGTGGGAAAATGGGAGGGGGGATTATACGGTGCTAGATGATAAGTAGCCATAACAAAATTATTTCTAGAAATCCAAGGTCATCCTTTGTCTTTGAACCTCTGCACCTGATCAGAACTGGATGGGTGGAACTTCCAGCCTTACAGTGGAATATTGGACCATGTGA